GAACTTGAATATATGGGAAATAGAAAAGCTGTACGAATAGATGGGATAAATATAGAATTGATTAAATATACCGGCACCTTATGCCACTTTTTGTCACGAATCCTCAACTTTTTTAATATGTGCAGGCAGAGATACAAAATTACAGATCCATGGCAGAAACTATATAAACATCAGTTGACTAAATATTGCATTTAAAATCTACACAAATATCCTGACCAACAGACTGAAGGTTCCAACCGAAGTACTTATACAAAAAGAACAAAAAGGATTCTAAAATGGGCGCTCATGCTGTTATAATGTTTATAATCAAACAACACATCAAGAAAAGCGGGGAATTTAACCTGGAATCTCGTATAGCTTTAACTGACTTCGAAAAAGCTTTTGACCAAATAATGAATGATAACGATTACCATCCACATCTTACAAACGCGATAAAAGCTTATTGGATAAATAATAAAAATACCAGAACATAATACAGGCAGCAGAGGTGAGATTTTTAAGCTGAGAATACAATAATAAATCTAATAAGTAGTGAAGACATGCGTAATGTATACGCTATAAAAGACAAGATAAATGGAGACACGTTCACAGGATAGAACACGAAAGAGTACTCAAAAAATACTTAAATACCTTTATTTAAGTATTTTTAAGAAAACGGAAAGGGCTAAGCCTAATTCCTGTAGTGAAAACTGATAAAAATAAATTTTGACAAAATTCAACACTGCTAAGTTTTGTTTCATGCAATTCAATGTGTGTAACCATGGCTGAAGATGTCTAAAATATATTGCATTTTTGAAAACAAAATTATAAACCACCATAATCTGCTTATTACCTTCTTCATTATAATTTTCTGATAGTGTATTCTTAAATCGATTTCTATTTTTAAATTAAATGATTTTGAAAGCATAATAACAACAGTATTGAATGACCACTAAGAACTGAACTAGTAGTATGCAGTTTAAGGAAAAGAAAATGTCTTCAACATCAAGTTGAATAACGAAAATAACTGCTGAAGTTTCACGAAGAATTTTAACATTTGAGTAAACTCAACTTTATACTTAGTGATTAGGATATTCCTGTTAATCTCAAAAGAACTATGGAAGCTACAAAGGTAAAGTACAAAGTTTATTGATGTAATGAAACTAATTGCTAGTTTTTGGTGGAAATAAACCTGAAGTAGCCATGCGGCACATGAACTGGTGCAGAAGAACTCAAAATGGTGGAGGTAGTATAAAAAAATTTCGGTAGAGCACGACTGACAAAGAGAATCGTCGGAAAATCGCAATTAAGATAGGTGGATGATCCTAAAAATGTGATCCTGAAGTTATATACTACTAAAAATTTATTATCCGTTGGCACTTATAAAAAAGGAAATATTTCACAAAACAGTAGGAATAAAACAACATAAAAATATCCTGAAGCATTTAAAAAGAGCGATTTGGAGATAACAATGCCGTGCATAAAAGGCTTACGATTACCGGAAAAACTTAACGCAAATCAATAAACACATTAACATTTAAAATGTCCAACACACTGTATTTTATTTAAAACAAAACCAGTAATGAAGAAGAAAAAACAAAGAACTGTATTTGTAGCATACCTTGTGAATGTAACAATTTGTGCTTGTTGCAAAAAAGAGAATCTGATAGATCTCAGACATGCCAATATATTTAGGATAATGCTCATAGTATCCAATGAAAAGATGCATCAATCGTTTGGAAGGAAACGGATAATAAAAAGAGGAACATAAAGGAAGAAGCAATACCAAATGAAGCAAATTGTGTAGCAAACTCATCAATAGAATATGGCAAGATATGGTTACCGATACCAAGAGAAGAGGTTATCAATAAGGATAACATTAATAAGATAACAATCATTATCATGATAACATCAATCATATTTTGATATCAATCTAGGATGGCTGATGTCTCAAAGATTGAGGCAAAGTACGTCATTAAACTGTCAAAAACGAATTTACCGAAGTTTTCATAATTTGTCATTATTTTTCTTTAAAACTATCTCCGGACTGGAATTCAAAATGTAAAAATGTCATTTTAATTATAAAAACAGTTACGATAAATTGCATGAGTCAGAGAGGAAAAGTATAAAAAAAAGCCGGGAAGAGACTATATTTTTATAATGAGAGCAGAATAATGAAAAAAAGAACATTAATGTGTAAACTAACAGAATTTACAGAAATGCAGTGTTGCCACACCAGACCATGTCTTGTTTTCCATGTACATTCTCTCTATGCGTTAATTCAATATGAATAATGAATAAAAGAACCTTAATATTTAAACAAACAGAATTTACAGAAATACAGTGTTGCCATACGAGATCATGTCTTTTTTTCCATTGACATACTTTCTATAAGTTCATTCAATTCTATTCTCCCCTTTTTGGTCCAGTCATTTGCATCTTACCACATCCTTTTCTAAGTTCATCATTATGTCTCTTATAGTCTTGTTTGTTACTTCACGATTTTTTTTAGTACAATTTTCATATCTGCTGTCACCGATATTTGTGTTTTGGTTGTAGCTGCTAGGTCGTACGCTAGTAACCTTGTAGAACCACGATTAGTCATTTATTAATTATATTATTTAAAGTCGAGCAGTCAAGAGAATGAGGTTAATCATAACAAATTATTACGAGTTAGTATGGCTTAATAAGAACTAATTAGAATTTGTGTTAATATGGAGATTAAGTATCAAATAAGTATGCCGTCTTCCAGTCAGAGTGTACCTGTGATTGTGATGAACTTAGGAGAAATAAACAAAGTCTGTATATTTCAGATTTTATAATGTAGGTATGCCGTTGTTTCTGTATCGGACTTGTCATTTTTTTATATGTCCCAGTATTTTATATTTTTTTATATATATATTCTTATTTTTTATTTATACTTTTTTATATATATTGTAACGATGAGTCCAAGCCATCACCGTTAAACCAGCGTGCGCGCGAACCAACCCATGTAGTAGGAGTGTATCGACAGTAGAAAGGGCAAAACTAATTACCAAGCTCCGCTATATAAACCGCAACATTTCCTCATAGAGCAGAATCGACAGGTGTTGACTGAAGGTTCTCTTCTTCCCTACCCCGGCTTGTGGACGTGTTGAGTTCACAAGTTGTTCCGTTCCATACCGCCGTTACCCGAAGAGCGCGTTGAGCTCTTCATTACCCGTACTCCGAAGCAGTCGTGTTGAGACTGTCGAGGAGTGTCCTATTAACCCGAATCACTTAAGGGACGTGTTGAGTTCCTTTCCTTTCTTTGTACCTATCGTCCGCTGTTATTAAATCGATACAACGTTCACGTAAAATTTCAAAAACACACTCGCTTGCCGATAAGACTAATTTCATACGACAAGGTCAAACTTAATTTGAATAAATAGGCCAGGTACTGAGAAGACTAAACCAAATTGTAAATATGTACATAAGATTTTTGTCAATTTAATTTAAGAAAGACAATAAAGTTTTATTTTTATTTTGAACTCTGTCTCTGACTGTCCAAAAGCTACCCGGATAGTGACTCCTACGAGAGGACGTCACAATATTCTTTTCACATTATTCGCCTATTCTTGTACCTCTTCCATTTCTTCTGACTAGACACTTTGATTCCCAAATATTCCACTTCCAGTAAATGGTCTATTATTTTGTTATTAACACTAATTTGTTATTATGCTTGAAATCAATTTTCTTTGGTTCCGACGATATCTTTTTAGAACGTATTACCTTCTAAATAAAATTACTCCAAAATTTGAGGCACAACAGCATAAACATCGTCAGGTCGTCTGGTGAATTTGCTCGAGCCAATGGAATCGATATAAGCTCTCTCGCACACTGCGGCTTACCTATAGCGCTTTCTCACATCTCGCCAAAATGACCTGTCTTTTTTAGAATATTTATTTTTAATATTAAATAATACTCTGCCAAAATAGCGCCTTACCTCAACCATATTTTTTGTATTTATTTTCAAAATAGTTTTGCAAGCGTCTCGCAAATCGAATGGCTTTGTTTAATTTTTGAATATTTAAATTTATCTAAAAAAAATACAAGTTTGGGCGTTGTTGAATGACAACTATCCTTCAGCCAGGTCTGCATTTCTGTATTAGGATATAATGGAAGAGGCATCTGAAAAATTTTCAGAATGACTCCAATACCTACCCAAAAATGTCTTTCAGACTAAAAGCACGAGCTGATGATACCTTTCGCTTGGAGACACATTACCTTAAATGCATCCTTTAATATTGTATGGATGTATTCTGTCTATAATATAGATATTGATAAGATTTATTTTTGTAATCTCAAAACCTTCTGATCATATCTCACGAAAAATTTGTAATTTAACTTTTAAAAAACTTCACACATTCAAAATTTACAATCTGTAGTAAGTGGTTGTGACATAAGGATTCTTCTAGGAGGGCTGTTCTGCTGTGATCTTGCTAGATGTCCTGCCCATCTTAGTCTTCCTATTCTTATAAGAGTTACTACGTCTTTACCACCAAATATTTGTTTATATCTGTGGTATACCTCGTAGTTGTATCTCCTCCTCCAAACACCATTTTCACAGATGCCACAAAATATTCCTCTCAGGATCCTTCGTTCAAATATAAGCAAAAGGTCTTCGTCTGCCTTGGAGATGGTCCATGTCTCCGATCCATATGTCAACACTGGCTGTATAAGGGTTTTGTATATAGTTATTTTTGTTTTTTGGCTTAAGTTTCTACTTCTCATATGTCTACTCAGTCCAAAATAGCATCTGTTTGCCATTACTATCCTTAGGTTAGCATCCTACCGATTGTAAAAAAAACAAGACTCAAAGAACCGATATAAAGCCTCGGAACAAACTAACAATATTAATTTTTGGATCCATCTTCCATGCAAATCCATTGACTGCCTTCATTAGGCCGCACATGAAAAGTGTGGACTATTCCGGTAGTGAAATTACTTAAAAATTCTTTTTGAATTATTTTTAACACAATAATTTTTTTATTATAAGTAATTAACGCTCTAAAAGAATTTTACCGGCCGGATTTAATGCGCCATACGGATCATCCGCTCATCACTAGCAGCATTTATATTTTGAGACTAATAAGATTTGTACATCTTCGGATTTTGTAAATTGTTATCACCATCAGATGCATTAGTGCAAATCATCTAATACGTAATTATGTATTTTCCGAAAGTTAAAAATAGACAGTAATACAAAAAATGATGAAATCTAATGTAGAATCCAAACAAGAATTACGTATAAACGCTTCATCATATTAAGTTTATTCGTTGTATAGCTGCAAAAATAGGAGATTCGATAAATTAGAATGAATTACAATGTCATTAGGAAAGAGGACTTTCTCCTTTTTTAGTGCACCATAAATTACCAACACAATGGACAATAATTAGAAATTCACTAACATATATATCTGACGTTTTTAATATTCATAACAACCTTGGAGTTAAATTGAAAGATAAACCATTTAAGATGTTTTATTTTAGGAAAAAAGATCACAATACCACAATATAAATATAATTTTACACGCCCTGTACAGAAAACGCGATATTCAGACATCTTTAATTCATATTTCAAACCAAACTTTATACATACATAATAACAAATGCAAATTTCTGGAATTATATTACTGGTTCATGTAAGCATTTAAATTGTAAAAATCTCGATTCGTTATACCAATTCAGTGTCCTCAATAATATGAATAAGTTAACTTGGTTACAAATGTTTCCAATTTTAAAGTCCATTATCGTTCTTTAAAATATTAGATTCTTTGCAATTTGTGAACAATATTAAACAGGATTGTTATATCAATACATCATTCAGAGCTTACCAGACTAGTCCCTCAAGTTGGAAGGCTATCAGAATGAGAGATGTAGAGGACCTTTGATTTCAATATGATTAGTCTGTGATGTCTAGATTGGAATCAAGGTCGCTAGTACGCTGTCAAGATAACAAAGGTCAAGTAGGTTTGACTAGAAATATACAAAGGCAAAACCACAAATACAGATCGAAATACGAGGAAATAGGAATGAATAGGATATTGGAGCAGTAAAAAACTTGATCAAATTCAAAAAAGAATAATGAAGTACTATTTCTTACAAAGTATATTTCTTGCTGACTCACATTCCACTCCAAAAACGTCCACTAAACAAAGATTAGGATCTATAAATAGTATGTTACGGGTGCCAGACAGGGTTGTATTCTTTCCCCACTACTGTTCAACATGTAGAAAATATATTTCAGTTTTCACATACCTAAAAACGCATGAAAATAATGATCTTTTCATTAAAGATATGCTTACGATACTGCCATAATTAATAGCGGACAATTAGAAGCTGCAAGATTTATTGCAATTTAATATAATAAAGGAATTGGAAGAGAAGTACATTAAGATCAACATAGCAAAAACCAAATATAGGGTGATCAGCAGATATCCCGATATCCCCATACGGAACTCAATTGAATGTAAATAGTACAGCTACTGAACCAGTTGAAAGATTTAAATACCTTGCGACAGTGAGACTGTCACTCGTTATTTAATACCTGAATTACTTACCTGAAAGTGAATATAAGAGTAGCAGTAGTTAGAAAGGGCTTTGTTAAATTTGATAAATACCTCCTTCGCCATGAAGTTTCTTTAACCCCGTAGAATCTTGGTCTTGAAATGCTACATAAGGCCCGTCCTGATGTACGGACACTTCAGTGAGACCTGCTCACTTAAAGAGATCTCTGAATTTCTGAATCGTGTGAAGGATTTCGAACTATGGTGTCTTAGAAGACTGCTTACAATGTCATGTCTAGATCATGTAACAAATAATGAGGTCCTAAGCAAAGAGAATTGTTAGATCTCGTTAAGTAGCGAAAGGTTTTATACTTAAGCCATATTCTACAAAATAATAACCTAAATGTCATCTTGATGGGTAAGGTTGAAGGTCGAAGAGGCCCTGGACGAAAGCAACATTCATTATTCAGAGACATAAGAAACTCTCTGTATCTCTGCATTTTCGACAACATGAACCTCCATAGCGTACGGCTCCCAACAAAGAAGAGGGACACCAGATAAAAAATACAAAAATAAAATTAAGGTTTTTCAAATAAAAATTCTAAGGAAGATCTTTGCACCGTCATGAACTTTATTAACTGCCCAAAGAAATATAGTCCAAACACCATATACGTTAATGGACTTAGTAAGGATAGATGACGACATGGTTACTAGAAGAACCCTAGAAAATACAATGCAGAAGTCCAATAGGAAGGACACGGAACAGATCTGGGTAAAGTAGCAGTTGAAGCACAATACCTAACGGACGTCAGAGCTTGGAGGACAGCGGTGCACGACGTGGACAGGTCAAGGACCAATTTCGACTTTATCGCCATTGGTAGAAAAAAATTAAGTCACCGAAATGTGAGATTAATAGCAAACTTTAATTAAAAAGGATTGATAATAACAAAAATCTGAATAAATCATTTCAAGAAGTTGCAACAAGCAATCAATAGACAACATTGTGTACTGTTATTATGAACAAAGATTACAATAGACAAAGTTATGCACTGTCGTCATCACTAGTTACTAATGGTTAAACATATTATGAATAAAGCATTGGAATTTTAAACAACTGGAGTCATGATAAAAAATATCTGATATAATGATACTAAAGTAAATTCCTCGATGATAAAAAAAGCCTTGGTTCCGATAGGAAATTGAAATAAATTATTTGATCAAAACAACGCTTTAGATCTTGAAGCTCTTGTAATCATTTGGTGTTTGTCGTAAGGCAAATCGTGGAACAATCATTGGAATATAACGTGGTGCATTATAGATCTACAAAAGGCATTTGATGATGCAGAAATTAAGGACCAAAGTTATCTAATCTATAAGGGAAATATAGTGTTATATCTTATTAAGACAAATTAAAAACAAACGTATATATCACTTAAATACACTGTGGAACTGACAAGGTAATTGAGATTTCATGCAAATGGGTAATATAGAGAACATAAACGACTCGATGGCATTTAAATGATATATTCTATAGAGTAATAAAAAAATGTGCAAAACGATAAAACTATTATCCAGGCATCCATTAATATGACTGAAAGAGATTATGGAGAAAGTAACCTGTATTTCATCTGAGTTGTACGATGTATTATTTAGAGCAAAACTCAATCTTAGCACAAACACTTACCACAAAAGCATCACATTTGTAACCAGCTTCTGTTGCACTATTTCTTTGATGAAAGGACACTGATTTGGCATTTGTATTTTTACACAATGCTTTTAACCTTTTATTTTAAATCACATCAATTATAATTACAAATAAATTATTTAAAAACTCAGCTTACTCTCAAACAAACAGAGAACGGTGAACTATAATATAAATATAAGGACAATGTGTACTGTTAATGCTTTACAAAAAACTTCGAAATTAAGTTTTGTTTTTTTTTGAAATATTTTACTTTTAGTTTAGATCGGTGTTTATAACCGCGTCAGCCTTTTTTATTTTTTTTTTCTTTTCTTGCGGATTATTTAATCTTCTTTTTTCTCCTTGTCTGCTTTATCTCCTCCGGCTGCTGATTCGTCTTCTTCATCTGAATAGTTGGTCGGTTGCTCACCTGGCTTCAACAATCTTCCTATGAAGTCGTATTTTTCTAAAAATCAAAAAGGCAAGACGTTATTACTAAGTATTAGCAAATTGAATTAAATATAGGAGAGAGGGTCACTGAAAACAGTTCACCTTGAGAATTGGCAAATATAATTAGAAAACATCGATTTTTATTCCAAATAGGATACATTTGAACTATACAAACATCTTCATTTGTAAACCTAATTGTTTCAAATCCACAACCTCTTAATTTTAAATAGAAAGTACCCGTGTGATGTATATAATTATTAGAATAGCACTTCGATGAGAAATTCGGGCATCAATCAATGATTTTTAGATGCATATTAACCCTATATTGCGTACCGTAGCTTTAAGGCAACACCGGAATTAATTTCCGTTAGAACACCAACCTTTAATTTATTAAGTGTATTAAAACTGCATATTGCGTACTGAAAGACACATTCTATCTAAGTAATCGCGCAAACTCCTACGTCATTACGTCAAGTTTTCGCGCCTAAAGTTCTCGGGCGTTGCTAGTCGTGTGTTATAATCGAAAAATAAAAGATCTTTCAACTTGTTTTCTTGATGTACACCACTTTTGAACGTAAAATTAGTTACTTTATGTAATAAGCTTATGTGAGGAAAGTAATTCCTAGTAATTTTATAATTGTAAATATAGAATGAGAATCACAAATCAAGTTGTAAAAAGGTGTTGCTTTGAGGCAATTTTATGCAATTGAGTCATGGAACTATCTGAAGTTGTTGTAAATCGATTCTATGGAAATCGAAGTAGCAGAAATGCAAATGTTGTTATAAGACCAGTGCCAGATGATTCTGATGACAGCGAATTAGAAGATAATGACGCTGATATTGATGATCCCTGTTATTTACCTTCTGACAATATTAATGCATCTGTAAGTAAATATTTTAGACTCATCTCATGAGTGACATTTCTAACATCGCCATTTTTTTGGAAGAAAATACTCACGAGGATGATGATATTGTCTCTGATGAGACATCTGATGATGAGGTGGATGATTCTTCCAAACCCAAAGCAAAAAAAATAAAAGTAGCCTACCAATGGAAGGTTTGCAAAACAAAAATTGCATTACCTATTCCCAAGTGGAAAGGTAATATACCTATCTCACACGAAATAAAACAACCAATAGAATACTGTACTAAATTTTTTGATGACGAGTTGATTGGAACTCTAATAGAACAGTCAAAATTTATATAGTGTTTAACAAAGCCAAATAAGCCACTTGGTGTAACAAAAAATGAAATTGGAAAACTTATTGGTATGTGATTCTACATGTCTATATATAAACTACCACGATAACGAATGTTTTGGAATCCAAAAACAAGGATTATCCAAGTAGCCGATGTAATGTCTGTGAATCGATTTGATGCTTTAAAAAAATTACATATAAGCGACAATACTAAACAACCATCTAAAGAGTCTCCAGATTATGAAAAATTATACAAAATAAGACCATTGATCACTAAAGTGAATGAAGTAGGTTCTACAATTCCCCTTGAAGAGTTCTTGTCAATAGATGAATATATATTGGTTCAGCTGGTAATGTAGTCCTTAGGTTATCAGAGATTATCCCAAAACACCAGAATCACAAATTATACTTTGACAATTGGTTCAATAGTATCAACTTGCAATTAGAATTAGCAAAAAATGGTATACAATGTGTAGGGACTGTAAAGCAAAATATACTCGCTGGTTGTGATTTGATGTCGGACAAAGACATGAAAAAACAAGGGCGTGGATCATTTCAGGAACAGAAAACTATTATCAATGGTACTTCCCTGACTATTGTGAAGTGGTATGACAATAAAGGCGTTACAATTCTAAGCTCATACGCAGGCGCTTAGCCATGTGGCAAAAAGAAAAGATGGGATCGTATATCTAAGCAATATATTGAAATTGATTGTCCGTCATCTATACTCTTATACAGTAAGGGTATGGGAGGCGTTGATTTGCTCGACTCGCTTATTGCTCTATACAGCATATCAATTAGGTCCAAAAAGTGGTACCTACCACAAATTCTTTTATCACTTTATTGACATTATGGTTGTTCAAGCATGGCTTTTATATAGAAGAGACTGCACTGCTTTAAAAGTACCAAAAAAGGAACAATCACCCCTATTGGAATTCAAGGCAGAAATTGCACAAACTCTGTCTATGAAAAATAAAGTAGGTAAATGGTTCTAAAAGAGGGCGTCCATCTAGTTCAAATGTATCTCCAGCATATGAAGAAAAGAAAATACCATACAACAGCACCCATTCTGTGCGCAGAGGTTAAAAAAGATGGAATGGGTCATTGGCCTATTTACTTTGAAAATAAAGGAAGATGCAAATATCCTAATTGTAAAGGAACTCCCAAAGTTCAATGTCAAAAGTGTAAAATATTTCTTTGTTTTACTACAACTTCTAATTGTTTTAAGAATTGTCATACCGAATAAAGTTTTCACATAATAAATTTTTATTTCACTAAATGTAGTTTAATTGCATATTGTTGCTTACAGTACACATTCCGTATTTTCCAAAAAAAGGGGGGCCGACTCAAAAATTAAATTATGGAACATTTATGTTCATACTTAAAGCCATATACAATGAAAAAAAGATTTTTAGTTCGCATATTTAAAATTCGTGCAATATAGAGTTAAATCCATTTTTGTGGAAAAGTATTAACTCATATGTTTGGGAAAGTATTTAGATTTATTTACATAATGTACATTCAATATTTTTATTACTGTATTAAGATATTATCTGTAGATGGCTATGGAATAGAGCAAAGTATCACATTCTAATGGTACTTTTAGAAATCATGTAAACTAAGTTGCGTATTAAAAATATACTTGTAGCAAGTCTAGAACTCAAGTAATCTGTGTCAACACTCCAATCCAAATTATCATCTAGAAAGTGTAGTGCTACACTTTTTTCTAAAGCCATATTGATTACAGTGAAGTATTTTGTATTTTTCTAGATATTCTACCAAACGAACATTTAGAATACTCTCAAAAATTTTGCCGAAAATGGGAATGATTGAGATGGGACGATAATTTCCAATTTCATCTATTCATTGCTTTTTTGAACTCTGGTAGCACTTTTATTACTTTTAATACATATGAGAAAATCCCTTCTGTAATACAATTATTACCTATAAAGTATAATTAAATTTGTCAATAATTATATTGATTGTTTCCACAAACATTTTTTTGTTTAAGAAATAAAAATCCGTACAGTGTGAATTTTTCAAACTATGCAAAACATTCCTGATTTCATATTGTTCTGAAGCTATTTTCTTGTGGCATTGTAAATTAATTACTATTTATAACTGGGAATAAGCCACATTAAAGATAAAAATACATTTATTGACGTTTCAATTTCCAATTCGGAAATCGTTCTCAAAATACAAATAGTAAATTAAACAAATTTTGTTTTTTGTTACATAGTGAAAAAATTCTTCTGATAATTTAATTTTATCTGACTCATTTATATTGACAATTCAGACATACATTATGCATTTTAAAGTAGACGACTTTAAAATGATATTGCCAATATTGTTGAGTTGCGCTCCTGGGACGACTTTACTTATAAGATAGTTCATTCGATTACATGAAATCAACTTTAACTTGAGAATATCCGTCAGAAAAAAAAAAAAAAATCATAGCATGTAATTCGTCTTTAAAAAGACAAACACATGACATGATGACAGTAAAATTCTCCTGTTAGTGATTCCATAGTAAATTATGAGGGAAAAACCAGGAAAAAAACCTCATAATACTATCCCGACATTGTAAGTATTTGTTCGTGAATTTAGTTTACCTTCAATAAACATCAAAATTCTGATTTTATGTTACGTTATTTAAAAAACATAAATGATGTATCCTCTATATGTTACTGACTTACTAATACTGGTATTTTCTTATTAATAACTTCCTCTTTCAATATTGGTAACCAGATCCTACTACATTCTGCCGAGGAATTTGCGACACAATTGGCCTCATTTAGCATAATTAGAGCCGCTTCTTTGATTTTTCTTTTTTTACCATCCGTTTCTTTTAGGACTATATTTGAATTATTCCATTGAACTCTGTGTTCATTATCCCATGCGTGTTTACATATTTGAGATCTATCAAATTCTCTATTTTTAATATAAGATTGATGTTCACTTATTCTAACATTTAATGGCCTTGATGATTCACCTAAATAAAACTGATCGCATTCACAAGGTATTTTATAAATGCAATTCTTTGTCCTTTCTTGTTCATTGTTAGGTTTGGTTTTGGACAAAATAGATCTCAACGTGTTTGTTGTTTTGAATGTTGTTGAAATGTTGAATTTATTTCCTATCCTTTTAAGTTTTTCTGATAATCCTTTTATGTACGGTATTGTTATTTTCCTCATATTATTCCTTGTGTATGCTGTAGGATCTCGTTCTAAGTTGTTCTGTTCTATTCGATCGATTGTTGAAAATTCCTTATTTATAAACGATAAAGGATAATCATTTTTTAATAAAACAGATGTTAACAAATGTTTCTCCTCCAAGAACGAATTTTCGTTAGAACAAGTAATTTTAGCTCTATCGTATAAGGATTTAATTATTCCCTTTTTTACATTAATATTGTGATTTGATTTGAAATTTAAATATCTATTGGTGTGTGTTGGTTTTCTATACACCTGAGTCTCATATCCAGTATCGTTCTTAGAGATCAAAACATCCAGGAAAGGTAGCGTGTTATTATATTCCTTTTCCATGGTAAATGTTATTGTCTCTTCTTTATCGTTTATATCGTTTAGGAATGTGTCCAACAACTCTGATCCATGAGGCCATATTGAGAATACATCATCTACATACCTCCACCATACTGTGGGTTTGAAATTTTGTTTAGAAATGATATTTGTTTCAAAATCTTCCATAAATATATCGGCTAAGAATGGAGATAAACTAGAGCCCATTGCTAGACCAAAATTTTGTTTATAGAATTCATTATTTAGTTGAAAATATGTATTATCAGTACATAATGTTA